AAATATAATTATGCTTGAGCACTATTACGATCACTTGCTAATCACATTGAGATTGACGCTTGAGAGCGACCTTAGTTACGTTCGGCTTGTTCCGATGCTTAAAGTTTCTACCGCATCACTAGTAATAATACAGTATCTACAGGGCTTAACCCACTATATTGATGCCGGTATAGTAAACAATAAGATGCACAATATACTAATTTTGATTAATCAAAAAGAACACTTTAAACAATAGCAATGGCGCAGTAAATGGCCGGCAAATTAATATAGTCGGAGTATCTATACATACGCAGAATTCGCCTATTTTTGCAGAAATTATTGAATGACGATATTGACGGAAATTTTAGGAAGGGTAAACAATCAATTGCATGGTCGTCTGGAAAATTCGGTGCATTAGTAATAGTAAACCAAGTTTTTGCGTAGAAATAGAACTTTTTAACGCGGAATTTACACAAAGGAAATTTATTAATTTACACTAGTGTATGAAACACGGGTATAATTCTATGAAAAATTTAATACAGATTTAAAGAAAAATTAAATCGAATTAAAGTTATGATAGGTTGGGTTTGAGATAATTTTACTAAATTTTCGTAGGATTTTTTGTTTCGTATCTGTGCCGGCTTTGGTCACGTGACAACGATCATCGTACCAAGTAAAAATACCTGACTAAAACTTTTTTATTTGAATTCTATGATTTGAATAAAAAAAAATTAGTCAGTAGGTGTTTGCTCAAAGTTTAAGAAAAAATTTGGCGCAGCTTCTATTTTTGATAGGCATTTTGATATTTTTTAAAACTTTGAGCAAAGCTATCTACCCGGTCAATTCGATTAATCTTTTTACTTAAATTCAATAGATTCATAGAATTCAAATAAAAAAAAATTCATCGAATTTGGTCAGGTAGGTGTCGAGATATATTCAATCAAAGTTTGAACAAATCTGGCACAACATATTTTGATAGGCGGTTTGATTTTTTTTAAAAAATTTTGAACGAAGATATCTTGAATTTGAATTCTGTGAATCTATAGAATTCAAATAAAAAAATTTCATCGAATTTGGTCAGGTGGCTGTCGAGATAACTTCGCTCAAGGTTTTTTTTTAAAAAAATCAATTTGGATTTTTTCAAACTTTGAGTGAATATATGGCCCTTCGGGATTTTCCGATCGGGCTAATTCGGAAAAGTTTAGACCAGAATGTCGATTCTTATTTCATATGTAAACCATCTTTTTACTTTATTGATTCGACAGTTTATTTAATAAACTATCGAATAAATAAAGCAAAAGGTGATTTAAGAATCGGCATTCTGGTCTAAACTTTTCCCGAATTAGCCTGATCGGAAAATCCCGAAGGGTGATTTTCCTAAGATCCCATATCTCGACACCTACCTGATCAAATTCTTTATTTGAATTCATGAATCTATAGAATTAAGTAAAAAAAAAAAAAGTTTAATCGAATTGGCCAGGTAGATGTTGAGATAACTTTGTTCAAAGTTTTAAAAATATCTAAAATAGAAGCTGTGCCAAACTTTTTCTTAAGCTTTGAGCAAAAATATCTCAACAACTACTGGATATATTTTTTTTATTCGAATTCTATATATTCATAGAATAAATAAAAAATTTTCACTGAATTTAGTCAGGTGGATGTCGAGATAACTTGATTTAAAATTTTGAAAATTTTTATTTGGTACGATGACGTCTTCATCAGTTACATTCCATCTAGTCCATCTAGTTATTTGCTTTTTTAAATTTTGTGCTCTACCTCACCTTTACGGTGTGACGATAAGTTCCGATTTAAAAGAATATAATTGTATCTTAAACAAAACCTTTTAAAAATTCTAATATCGATATCATTGATAATTGATAGTATATATATTACAAAGATATATAAACGGTCAAAAAGCACAGTAACACGAATCTGTCATACCATCTATCCTTTATGCATATAAATAGATAAAATTGTTTAAATTCGAAAATATTTTCGTTTTCACAATTAATTCATAATAACTAACTATATAATTAATAAGATTCATTCACAAATGGCATCATCAAATGTTTCTACTGTTTCAACTGAAATATCACAAACGAATGATTCTCAGAAAATATTGGCAAATACTACAAAGCTTCCTGTAACTGCTCCAATAAATAAGACTACTACTACTAAAGATACAATTGGCCTTCTTCCCGGGATATTAATTGGTGGTGCTGCGGCATGTGCTGCCGTTACATTTTCAAATCCGTGGGAGGTTAGCATTTTTTTTAATTGATGGATCCTGAAGAAAAATGTTCTTACTTTTTCTTCCTTTACAGGTAGTAAAAACTCGCTTACAACTTCAAGGTGAATTAGCCCGAAGTAATTCAAATTATGTGAAACCTTACAAAAATGTATTACAAGCATTCTACTACATAATCAGACACGAAGGACTTCTTAGTATCAATAAAGGTTTAGGTAAGAAACTTATTCATATATCAATCTCCAATCACTCGATTAATCAATTCTGATTATTTTAAAGGCCCAGCTTATACTTATCAAATTATGATGAATGGTTCACGTCTTGGTCTTTATGATCCAATCAGAAATTCTCTCGTTTCAACTTTTGGTGCCTCAAGCACTTCATTACCAATTAGTATTGTTTCTGGAGGCCTCTCTGGTATTATTGGTGCATTTGTGGGCTCTCCCTTTTACTTAGTCAAAACTCGTATGCAATCTTTTTCAACTCACATGGCAGTTGGACATCAACATAATTACAAAAATACTTTTAGTGCTTTATCACAAATATGGAAATCGGGCGGTATAAAAGGGTTATTTACGGGTGTTAGTGCTGCAATGATAAGAACTGGTGTTGGATCTGCGACCCAATTATCGAGTTATTTTTATATAAAACGATGGATAATTCAAAAAACTGGAATGAATGATAATGATATTCTATTGCATAGTATGGCAAGTATGATATCAGGACTTTGTGTTTGTACGACTATGAATCCATTTGATGTTATTAGCACTCGTATATATAACCAGAAAAAGGATATTAGTGGTAAAGGAAGGTATGATCTCAAAATTTTTTTCCCTTTTTTTTTTTTTTTTTGATGAAATATTAATCTTTGCATATGGTTAAATTTATTATAAAAGTCTGTATAAAGGTACTTTTGATTGCTTTATAAAAATAATTAAGACTGAAGGTATTCCAGGATTTTATAAGGGATTCGTAGCTCATTACTTTAGGATTGGGTAACTTTAAAAATTTATTTACTTTTCATAATTAATCCAGTTCCTATACAATTCTTTTAATTCATATTATATTATCTATCTAGACCGCATACAATCTTAACTCTTGTATTTTTGGAACAATTTCGCGGATTATATATAAAATATACACGATGATTCATTTTAATATAAGTTCTACTGATCCTAACCTTTAACATGAGATAATTGTAGTATTAAAAAAAGTCTTAATATTACATGAAAACTAATGCTGCAATTCTATTTGTTAATATAAATATGTATCTATATAGATTTTATAAAATGGGAAGGAAGTTGTTTAATATTATTGTATTGATTTCTATAATTATGGAAAAACTGAACAAGTAGAATTATTTAATTAGCATTTATATATAAACTTATCATTCATCCAAACGTTTTAATGTCATATTGTTTTATATTTTTTGACTATGAAGACATTTCATTAAATCATTCAACTGGTAAGTTCTAAAAGTAAAATGAACTCAGTTCAATAGATAATGTGTATTCTTTTTAGAAATTAGCCTGCAGTTAACTGATTTACTGTATTTTCCACCATTTGTTCATTGATAGTTCCGGAAAAAATTTTAATTTTATTGGGCATTTTCGATTTGATTTTGGCTACTCTGCCAACCTAAAAGTCTAATTTGTAGACCTATAATCAAATACAATATTTTGGGAGTTTTATCAAAGATATCTAAATTAAGTATAAATAGCCTTGTCGTCGTTTCTCATTGTTAAATTGACTAAATAAAATGTTCTAACTTGCCATTTTATTTTATTTCTATTATTTTATTTTTTTAGATCCCACAATACAGAATTTATTAAATTTTAAATCACTTCTATCAACTACACATGATATAAAAATTGCTAAAAAAAGCATATTTGATATCAGATGTATTATTTTTAATATTCAATTATCCTACTTGCCCTTCACATCAGATTGGTGCGAATATTGGAATGGGAAAAAATTTATGTGAACGCCCAAAACAATTTAGTTTTCCTTCCAAGGTTGATGACGAATATCCCCTGGTTTTCTTCTAACACCTGGAGTAAGAATGCATATTGATTTTGAAATAATGATATAGCAAAGTGTTATTATAAGAATCTATTATCGTATAAGCGCGAAATAATGTGCAGGGGTGTGATTTCAAATTTTGGTCTAAATTATACGGTATAATGTACGTACGGTTGGTCTCACTACTTCTTCTGGACTGAATTCATATTTCTTGTCTTTTTGCTCCACTCTTCATAACTTCTTTGGAGGATAGCTGTCATTATAACAGATAAGGTATTTTCTCAAACTTAAATTTTTGATAAGGACTATTTATTATAATCATAAAAAAATTAGATTCTTTTATCATATTTAGTGTATAAAATAATTTAAATGTTATCATATGTATTAAAAAAAAAAATATTGTATTTTATTATAAAATAAAATTAATAATCACAGTTAATTTATGACCAAAAATTTAGCAATATCATGAAAAATCTTTACAAAAAATTTTTACAAATTCAGAAGTTGATTTATTAAAAAACTCACTATTATAGCCAAAGTATTTATATACTGTATTTTGAAGTATTTTTAAAAAATATTTTGATTTGAGATTCAGATTATTTTATATTAAATGATTTTTTTTTAAACCTTTTTTACATATATAAAAGTATACATTTTTTTTTTTTCCCTTCTACTAAATTTTATTAAATTTATAATGCTCAATACAAGATTAAGCTATTTAATAGATAAATTAGACTAAAACCTGGCTGTTTCTTAAAGATGCCCAAGTTTGGTTATTGCACTAGTATTGGCCACTATACTCTACATATGGCATGGTGTATTTAAAGATATAGTTTAGCTTGGATTTAGCTCCTATTATATCAGGTTCTTTTTTTTAATTCTTTTTCTTCTCAAAAAGTACAAGACAAAAAGGAAAAGTTTAAACAAAGAAATTATAAAAACAACCAGAAACAGAAAAAATAAAAAATAAAAAAAAAATAAAAAATAAAAAATACAGATTTTTAAAAAGAAAAAACATAAAAAGAATTCTAAGACTCTAAAGGCACTTTTATAACCTATGCATGGCTAATAAAAATTATATAACAAATACAATATTTGTATATCTTGTTTGTAAAGCTTTGCTTTAATATTAAGTTTATTTTTCAACCTTCTTACCAACTTCAGATAGCTTTATTGCCCATTCTAATTCGTATTTCAAGTCACACTAGTTAAAATCAAAAATATCAATAAAATATCAAAACCTGATATATAACTTATATGTAACCTATATGTAACCTAAAGCTAGCTTATATTGGCTTATTAAAAATTATAAAATATAGGCTAGTTTTAGGTTACATATAAGCTATGTATAAGTCACATACCAGATACCGATATTTTACTGATATTTTTAATTTTAACTAGTGCCAGATGCTACTGTTATCTGAGAACTTGTATTTCAAGCTACCTGCTACTGTAATTAGAGTTTTTAGACTGAGTTTCATAAAGTAGTATTATATCTATTTATAAACAAATACATAATTACATTCTGCTAATTTGTCCAAATTTAGAAAATAAGCAATGCCAATCTTTTGGAAAAAATAAGCCAAATCTTCATTTTTGGTTAAAATTTTTTAAAAGACTAACAGAAAAACAAAAGCAAGTAAAAAAGAAACTATTTAACTACAAGTTCAAAATATGTAACAGGTTAGTGCCAAACTACCAATTAGATTTCAAGATTAGGAGTAACATTACATGATCAAAACAAATATTTGTTTTGCCAAAAATCAGTTATTTCTTAAAAATCTATATAAAAAACAATTTTTTATACTTTAATAAAAAGTTTTCTTTGAATGATTTTACTATAAATCTAACTTTAATACAAATTTTAAACTAAACATAAATGAACTTTAAAGAAATTTGCATATTTTAGATAACATGTATAACCTGTTACACATTTCGGTTTTGCTATTTAACTAAATAAAAAGAGTACAGCTTAAGAAAACATATTATTTTGTTGTTTCTTAGTATCTTTATAGAAGTACAGCCTAAGAGCTTTATTGCTAGAAAGAGAAGAGTATCTACAAAGTCCTTTTCACTATCAAGATTTTTTATACAAAGGTATCTCTTGCTAGTTATCTTATATAATGATACTTTTGACTTGTATATTGAATATTATCTTTAAAGAAGTCTTATAAGCAAAACATTAACCTCTAGACGAATTGCTATATAGACTATAACTCTCTAACAAATTTTGTGTTTTTTTTGAATAAAAAATTTTGGTTTAAGTGATTATTAAAAAGAGTTTGAAACTCAAAAAGTATATATATTTCAAATATACTTTATTAGTAAAAAATATATACAGTACAAACAAAAAATTATAATTATATAAGTTAATTCAAAAGTTTTGTTACAAGATAATTTTCTCAATCATTTTTAAATTTATAATTTTATAAATTATTTCTATAAATATAGTGGTTATAATTATTTATAAAAAAAAAACAAAAACTATATATTACACCTGTGGTATTCAACATTACAATAATAAGCTACAGTATAATGTATAAATCAGAATAATTTTTATTAAAACAAAAATTAAATTTTGATTAAGATTAGGGTTAGGATTAAAGGCTAAAATGAAGTGAAAGCTTAGTTTATACCAAAATTTTACAAAAGATTTTTTTTATTAGAGCTTAAAAAGTGGTTTAATAGATAAAATTTTAAGTTATACTCTTTTTTTTTAAAAAAAAATAAAAAACCCATATTATACTTGATCTTTATTTTATACTGCAGCTTATAATAAAAATTATTGTAATGTTGAACACTAGTGGTGTAATTTAACAATACTAAAAAAAAAAATAAGTTAATTTTAATCAAATAGTTTTTAAAAAATTTAAATTTTTAAAATTGCTCTTAAAACAATTAAAAATATACTAATATAAAAACTAAATTAATTTATAAATCTTAAAATTTTTTACATAATAAAAAAACTTATTTTACAAAAATAATATTATATATATGTACTATAGTTAAAATTTATATAAATAAATTTTTTTATAATTAGGGAGCTATCACTTATTATGTAATTATAGCCCCCTCCAGAGTTAGTCATTTGACAATTACAAGTTCTAAAGTAATCAATTGTTTGATAATTGTAAGCTCTAAAATAACCAATCGTATAGAGTTTATATTATGATTACTTTAGAACTTGTAATTGTCAAATGACT